AATTAAAATTTTAGTATATAAATTTATAAAATTTTAATTATTTTATAATTATTTTTCTTTAATTTACTTAATTAAATAAAAATATATAATCTACCCCTTCCTCTCCCTTTTTTTTTTAAAAAATCTATTCAAATAAAATTAATATTAATCTTTTACTCTCATTCCCTTCCCCCCTCTTCTCTTTTCCTCCCTTTCCTTCCCTTTCCTTTATTAATTTTTATCCAAACATATCCTGAAAGTTGATCATTTGTAGCTAGTGGGACATCATTGATGACACTAAAGGTTGATCATGATACCTATAGTTAGGGTTAAATGTCAATTTTGGTCCTTAACTTTTAAGGTTTTATACAATTTTTCTCAACTTTTTTATACATTTTTTTTTGTTCATTAACTATGAAAAATGTACTTTTATAATCCTTCTGTTAAGTAATCTATTAAATCTGTCCATATATTCATATTTTCAATCCTTCAATTTTAAGATTTTACACTATTTCCATCCTTTAATTTAAAAGTTTAAAAACTAAAAATGTACATATATGGAGGGATTTAATAAATTAATTAATAGAAGAACTAAAAATATATATTTTTTTATAGTTAACAGATCAAAAAAGTGCAGAAAAAAGATTAAAAAAAATTGTATAAAAACCTAAAATTAAGGGACCAAAATTAATATTTAACCTAGAGTTAACTAGCTAGCCTGTGGTATAATTAATAATAAGGTTTTTTCTGGTTTCATTCCCCCTAGAAAAAGATGATTTTTCGGAAGATTTTAATATGGGATTGCCACTGTTTCACATCATCCTACTCATTTATTCTTGATTGTGCTTGTATCCTAAAAGTCTCTTTCCCACTACTCCCACTCCAAAAATCTATTAATTTATATGAGTATGACTGGAAATTGAGTTATTGACAGAACCGGATCTTATGTGTGCAAAACCAGATAAGTTGTTTTGACTCGTTTGGCTCAAGCAATTAAGATGGCCCCGTATGCACTAATAGCGATATGTATTTGTAATAAATAACTCCAGCATCTCCGGCTTTCCCTGATGGGGACACTACAGCAAAATAAGGATTGGAGTCGAATAAAGCCGGACTAGCCACCGGGTTCAAATTCAAATAAAGGATTTTTATCACATTAATTAAGTTAATAATTATTACTGATGATCTTATTGTTATATCATATGAGAGTTTCGTTTTCAATGTTAATGCGATTGGTAAATTTCATTTGTTACTAAGGTATCAAATTGTTATTGTCTTTGTTATATGTATGGTTATATATACGTATACGTATATTGTGGCATATAGAAGATTCTTTGACTCGACAAAGATAATAACTTAAAATAATTTCAAGAATAGAAAAACCAAAAGAAATGAATTCTCTTATTTGGATAATTAATTAAGAACAACTGTAGAGCTTAGTAGATGGTCTAATTAATTACTCATTTGGTGGATTTTCTGCTTCTATATTATGTTTAATCATTGTAAAACCTTTTTTTTTGGGGGGGGGGGGAATTGGGGAAACTTGGAGGTGGGGGAGTGCTTGCATGGGTTTGAACCCAAGACTTAGGATGTCCTAAACACCATCTTCTTAGGAGATAATCATTAGGTCAATCAGTGATGAACTAAAATCAATTTAATTTAATTAAAAAAAATTTACAATTTAATGTAATTTAAACTGTAAAACACCAAACTCTTAAGTTATTCACTCCCTTACTCAATTGTGTTGTCTTTACAGATGTAGCCATGTGGGAGAAAGGACCACATTGAGTTCTAAATTTTTTGTGGGAGCTACATATAAACGGGAACCTCTTGAACAGTTGAACGATGCCTTGTTTAACATCTATCTATTAAAAATCGAATACCATGATTGCTCAAAAAAACCTAGTAGCATACGGCTGTGCCTGAAACAAAACAGCTGTGAGAATCATGATGTCATTAAGACATCAACCTAATGTAATCTGCCTAATTAAATTATATATTATATAATTATAATTTCTCTCCTTTTGTTATGAACCTCTCCGTCTGTCTAGTTAGCTAGTTAGTTAAGCTGATAGTTAAGTTGATGATGAAGCTCATCCCAACTACATTGGTAATGTAATTTGCCTAACTAAAATGCATTATAGGGTTATTGTAAAATCAACTTTCTTAAATAAAAAAAAATTAAAAATTTATCACTTAATTTAAAAAATTGATAAAATTCACAGTTTAAATAATAAAAATGTTAAAATTCGTATCCTACACCTTTTCTTTAAGTTGTTTATTATTATTTTTTGTATCCACAGATCTTAATTTCCAATTTTCAGATACTTACCAGTTCAATTGCAGCGGCAAAGATACAATATATACATATATATATATATTGTGATTTCTTTTTTTTTTTTTAAACAAATTCATAAGGAATTGGATTCGAACCGTTGCCTAAAAATAAGGGAATGAACTTATACGTGGCCTGACGCCACTGAACCGAAAGCCCAAGTGCATATACATCGTGATTTCTAGTAGGCCACAAAAAGAGAAAACTTCATTATTTATTTGAATGTATTTATCACTAACAAAGGCCTGATGAAAGTGATACTCACCAACTTAAATTTATTGATTGATACAACAAGTAATCACTTCTAATGTCAGGCACTTATCTTTTTTGGTGCACCAAAAAGGTTAACTAATTGGTATTTTTGAACCGTAACTTTTAATTTTAAATTAAAAATTTTAAATTAATGAGTATCAATTCAACCAAATTTCTTAATGGTATGGCAGGCAACTAACTTAACACAAATTATAGAAACTAAGAATTGGGCTTGGAGAATACATTAATTTCTTCTCAAACAAAGAAGGATACAATAATAATTTAACCGAAAATAATATGCAACTGGAATACTCATCTAAACTTGAGAGCTAGCAAGACTTTATAACAATAATTTAACATAATTATTATAACATCCGACAATAACAGATCCTCTTAGGCCAAAAAGAAAACAGATACTCAAAGAAAATATATAATTGTAAATGTTACAGCAAGTGCTACCAAGTTTGTATTGTCCAAGTAAGGAGGGTGCACCCAATATTGAAACTTTAATTAAAAGAGTGAACTAATTTTCTTTATTTTCTCTTTTGCCAAGGAATTGTACAGCAAATGCCAAACCCAGTATTAAGAGAGGCACGAAAAACTGCAAGATCTTAACCAAAAAACCACTGTCCTCAGCCTGGTGAGGCACTGGAGGAGGAGGTCGTAGTTGGGATGACTTCTTGAGAGGGATGGTGGAGGGATCAATCTCAGCAATGTAATACTTTTGCATAAGCTCTTTTGCATCATCACTGTGTCCCACATCTTCAAAATCATCCGTTGCATCTCTTCCTACATGATTCAAGGTATTACTAATTAGGTTGTGTGCAGATCAGTGAGATGAACAAATTCAGTGAAATGAATTGGAAAATAATGGTGCACATAAAGTAAGTAGAAGGAGGATAGTACCAGTAGCAGCTAGCAACACTTCATCTCCTCCCGGATGTTCCTCCATGAATTGAGTAACATCATACACCTGATACAATTGGGTGTACGGCAAATTAATAACAGGTAGGCAACAATCAATGTTATGTCACTGTACAACGGAAATTGAATTTATTCCAGTAGTATAACCTTAATGAGAAAATTTCAGGCAGAATCATCCAATAAAAACAGAGAAGACAAACGAGTTCAGTTTATTTTATTAGTTTTTTTTTTTTTTTCTTAGGCAAATCTGCCAAATTAGTTTATCAATCCTTAGTTTTCATCAAAAATTTTAACTAAAATGGAGTGAAGTGTAAAATGAAAGAAAAAATTATAGAGTACATTCAGTGTGAGAAAATCTGAGTTTTCAAGATTTCTTACAGCCTTATGTATAGCATATTAGCATCAATCACTTAATTATTAAATAAGTTGTTTTAGATTAAATTTCTTTACACAATAGAGGAAACATTTGATATATTTGTGCCTATATTTCCATTGAACTCATCTTACCCACAACACTTCTAATCTACTGCAATCATCCTACAAAACTCGAATTCTCTTCCAATCATTTTTTTTTTTTTTCCATTATAGTTTTTGATTTACTTTTAACCTTGAAATTCTTCGAGAACCTGAAGGGTTCAGGATAATCAATGTTTATTTGACTAAAGAAGTTAATAATAACTTGCAATCTCCTTCAATACAAAGGCAGGGCTGATGGATTATTAATTAAACAACCTAATAACTTCGAAACCTCTTCAACCCATTACCAGGTTAAGCCAAGTCTCCTCTATTCAATGCTTAATCTAAGAAACTAACAATAGAAATTTACATCCTGTACAAAAAATAATAAAAAAATTCTTAAACAGGAAACTGAAAATCGAGATGTCTTAATATTTAAAATGTCATAACTGCATGTAAAATTGTTCAAATGGCTAATAATCTTCTTTGTTTTTTGTTTATTAAGGGTATTTAAATATTTTCACAGATTTTTCTCCATCCCAATTCTTAATCTATGCTGCAGTTCAAAAACTAGCTATTGCTGTTTCTCTCTTGATTTGAAGTTCTAACTTGTATACATATACATCTCAAACAGAAAGTAACAATAAATTTCGTGGCGTGTAAACTAAGATCGCAAAAGAAATCAGAAAAAGAAACAGATCTTGATACTGTAGAGAGAGCACACTACTGTTTCAAGTCAACACGTTAATTGAAAGCAGAAATTAAAACTTTGGAAGAACAAACTCAGGTAAAACCTAACCTTTCCTGAAATCAAAAGCCAGATATTATCCCTTTCTTTGTGCTTTGTTACTTCTTCAAAGGCAAGAACTTTGCGTTCTGAATCCATTTCAGGAGATACTTCTGCTGTTATCTAAGAACAAGAAAAACGGGGAAATTTTTACAGAAATATGAAATCAAGAAAAGGCACCTAAAGAAATTAGCATCCAGAGACAGAGAGAGAAAAAAAAAAAAAAACACGAATATAAAAGATCAAAGATTTCTTCTTACACGACACCAGAGAGACAAAAGGTGAATTTGATTTGGGAACTGAGATAAGAGTTCTTCGCTGACCCTCCTGCTTCTCTAACACGTGCTTTCATCCTGATTTAGATTTGGTAATGAATGATGATAAATGGATCAAAATTTAGGAATAAAATATGATAAAAATGATATCATATAAATTTTGTTTTTTAAAATATTAAAAGTAATCCAGCCATTGACTTACTGATCACCGTAGGACTGGGACATGCTTAAGATTATTAAGATTTAGTTTTAATTTCAGGTTTTTTTAAAAAAAAATTTTTATTGTTAAAAAATATATATATTAAAAGTAAATTTTATATTATTAAATTATTATTATTTTAATTTATAATATTATATATTAATTAATTTAATAATATAATTTATATTGAGTTATTAATTTTTAAAATTTTTTATTACAAATTTT